AATTATATCTAGAGTCAGGTGTGATAAGCTTACAGATTCAAGAACTTGCCTGGGTACAGACAATGAAATGAAAAACCAAAACCACTACTTCAGTAGTTAGATACATCAGTCTGGTTCTTTTTGGAACCTGGGTATTTGTTCTGAAGAACAGTAGCATCCATCTGCTTTTGGATGACACCTTCTGAGGAGCAAATCAAAAAGCAACTCACTGACACAGAAACTCAGGGACATAAGCTCTCACCAGACACACACATTAAAAGTAAAGAACAACACATTACCTTCATTGCAAATATCACTCAAGGACTGCATATGAAACGCACAGAACACAAGGACTTTCATGCGTAAATTTAGGAGCCTCATTTGAACGCTACCTAAAATCAAAGAAGTTATGTTGTAAAACCATTTTTCTATCACAGGTTGAAAATTCTGCACAATCTTGGATGCATTTTCTTACTTCTCTGCTTTCTTAAACTCAGATATAAGGTTATCACTTCAGAATTTAAACACAGTGAAAGCTTAGCTATGATTATCTTATTCTTGTGTAGAAAGGTTTACTCTGTGTCTTTAGATCACATACTTAATCTTTTCCTCAAGGATACATGAAAATAAGAGTGCTGTACCCTGGAATCTTGTGTTTTTTAGCATTAAACCTGTCTGGCCTTCAGCATTGTTCTAAACAAATCAGCTACACTTATCTATGGCTCATGTCTTCACAACTTATTCTGCATCTTCAGCTGAGATTAAAAATGTTAAGCCTAGAGTCACAGTATGTCATTTATTTTGCTTCAGCTTTTTTCACACAATTACCTCTGCAATTAAACAAATATTTTTGCTTGTAATCATGTATGGCAAATAACTGCCATCATTATACTTTAATTTGTCAAGTTAGGAGGAGACAGAGCAAAAATAACTTTGTCAGTGCATTCACAATTAAACAACATACATTTCTTAATTTCTTGGCAAATTGTAGCCTATTAGTCTTGAAACAATTTTAATAGGATCTTTTTTTAGGATTTTTCAGGTATCATGCATTGTAACATGCACTGTAAATTACAGACACTGCAGAATATATTTCAGGGATACAAACACTATTTACTGCTATTAAAATAAGCAAGGATACTCAGTGCAGTAGATGCAAAAAATGCAACTGAAAACTGTAATCAATATACCCTACATACACACAGTATCTGCAAATGTTCAACACATTACTTTGACAACTGATCAAATTTATCAATCATAAATTTACAAAAATATACTGTATTTAACAGTATAATAAGGATTACAAACAAGAGTAGGCCATTTGACTTATTTAGGTTGTACGTTGGTTAGTATATAATTAATCCAAGGATCTCATTTCCTGAAAGAAGGAAGGGTACAATCTTCAACAGTAAGACTGTGCAGCTTGTTACCTACCCCTACAACTGTTTGGGGATAAGAGTGTCTCCTGTTCTCAGTTTCAAATGAACTTTTACATTTTGTTCTGTGGTTTCCTATTTAACCTGAGTAGGAGATCACTTTATTATCCATATACAATTTCTTGCATTATTAATCTGTCTTTTCACATACCCCAGCTTGGTCTCCATGAGACACACACAGACAGGGAGAGAAGCTTGGGGTCAGAGCGCAGGGTCAGCCATTGTACAGCGCCCCTGGAGCAGCTGGTGTTAAGGGCCTTGCTCAGGGGCCCAACAGAGTAGGATTCCTCTGCTGGCTGTGGGATCTGAACCGGCAACCTTCAAGCCACAGGCACAGATCCTTAGCCAAAGTGCCATCGCTCCTACCTCCAAAAAATATGGAACGCTTCACGAATTTGCGGTGTTTGTCGAAAGCCGAGAGAGCCCAGGTCTGTTCTTCTCGCTCGAACCTCAGCGGCACTCAGAACGGTCTCAGTCACAGTCGGCTCGTGACATGGCCCAGGATCGAGTGCACAACGCAGGGATTGTGGCAAGTGTCTTTACTGGCTGAGTCACTCTGCAGGCCTCTCATACCTCTCTGGCTCCAATCCTGCTTGCTTACCGATGACCACAGCACATGCGCTTACATCTTTTAGAATACGTCTCTTATCCAGTATTGCTGCTCCCGCAACAACTAGAAATGCATGTGGCATTTTTAAAGACACGTTACTTCTATATTTTAAATGGGTGACAGTTATGTGTTTTTACATTGTCAAAAGAGTGTATTGTGAAATAAAAGCATTTTTTAAAATTTTAACTAAACTAATAAGATAGTTGCATTAAAAACATAACCTCTTATGTCTTACCAATGCTTTAATTCTATTACCAAGTCAATTAGGGAAGAAACACACATCTGTTATGAAGATGGAATTTTCTTGTTTCAAAGCTAACATTTACTTCTATATCTTCCAGATGTAAGTGAACAAACCTATCACATTTACACAAAGAGCATGGGATAAAGATTTACACAATTTCCTGTAGGTCCAAATGCAACAAATCAAATCAGATACAGCAAACACCTGCACACCTCAGACTCTGACCAGCTAGTGCTTGTTGCGTGTACTGCCACAGCTGCTTCCTTCTCAAACCCAATGAGTAACAAAAATTTAAGCACCAGACTTCAAAAAATATAAATGTTGAATATCTGCTCTTCATCTGAGGAGAAATTTAAGAACATTGGATTTTTAATTTAAAACAAACTAAGGTCTACTGTGAAGTCAATTCCATTTTGTTTTAACTACAGCAAGCACTCGAACGATATAAAATTATTTCTGACGTTTCAAAAACTGAAGTATTAAATACTAGCCGATGTACAGTAAAAATCAAAGAATCCCGTTTTGTGGCACAACTTTAAAAAAAAACTATCCTTTAAAATGATGCTTAGAACACCACCTCTTTATCTCAAAGGAAACTATTATCTCGAGTCTCTCTTGAGTCCTTGGTTAGGGCCAGAACTTCCAGTTCCCCACTGCTTGTTGTGCAGAAATGGAGTGGTGCCAATATGTAAAACTCAACACCTGTGAGCTCCCATTTTCAGTCCAAGTCTTGTCTTTCCAGAAGGTGGCACTGAGCGGTATTAAGTTTACAGCCGCAGGCAGCTCATTGGATAGGCATGGCTCAAAACAAAGGGGAAATTCAGTGTAATTGATGTGTTCTTCTTTTTCTTCTGCCACAAGTCCAGGGTTGCCAAAAGGACTGACAAAGCAATTGGTACAGGTATTACAATAAGACATTACAACAATAACAACTGTAATAATAATTCCTAGGGTTTATACAGTTGTCTTTCAATACAAACGGATAACATAAAAAATATTTTCATTAATCAGTACTGTGAATATTTCTATTTTTCCATCACTGACTGAAAACATTCAAAATGTTATGCTAGTTCCAATGCCTCTGGCATACAAAAGAAGTTTGTAATTTTTACTTTGCAAATAAAACAATGACACCCAAAGAATAAGAGCTATATTACTAATCTACAGTAAAGTACGTTAAAAACTACACTGTTAACCAAACCAGTGGACTTGCTGCTTCCCTTGGTCCTGTCTTAGCTCTATGTATGTAACTGCAACCAATTAAAGCAGCTATATGCAAAATTTCCTATCTAGACATCTCAAAGCTCTTTACATTCGTAATGAATCATTAGAAATCGGGTAGAAAGAACATGCTGAGATGAAGAAAAAAGCAGTACTTCTGTATTAAAAGTTAGGAAAGGCTAGTCTGACGAAATGTGTTGTTAAATAGTTTGTGAAGTCATACAATCTTTCTCCTCATCTAATAGAAATAAATGCTAACTGTCTATATAAACAGAGTAGTGCAGAATAAGCTGACTCTTCAGTGAACTATCACGTTAGAGATGCAAAGAACTACTGCATGAACCAAGTAAGCAGATGGGGATACAGCAATGTCCTTGAGGATTAGGGGGGGAATGAAAAATGCAAGTGGAAAGGGGAGGTTAATCAGACTAACGTGAACAGAACCCCATTACCAAAACACAGGGCTCCTGAGATCCAGCCCAACTGGCTCGTGCCACACAGATTTAAATACCAGCAGCACGTAAGACAGCAGAGCTGCACAAGAGGCACGCATGAGTAGGTCTGAACTAAAATGCAGAGCAGAAATGGAACAGAGGATTTAAAAACCATCTTGCTATGAAGGAAGAAAAAAAAACACTTGTTACAATGACCTACTTTAAAGGTTTCATGCTTGGAGAGTGTTTAAAGCAGACACTAACTCAGACATATAAGAAAAAAGCATCCATGCAAAACAGTACTGGCTCCTACTTTCTGCGACCTTAAAAAAGCACATCGTCCATAAGATCCACTTTGTATTAGAAAGAAAAAAGGTACAGGATTCAGACAACCATTAGAGTTAAATACACTATTTTTCACACAGTAATTTTTAAAGTAGCTGTGCCAGAAGGATAAAGTATAAAACTAATTGGATATTTGTGTGACCAGTGTTTGTTTTTAAATCATACATTAAATGTATACTACAAATAAATATTTTAAGTAGAGTTCCACAGCATTACCAGCTTGTAGCCTGATCTTTTTATAACTCAAGGTAAGCAAGGCTGGCCTAGTTAGTTGCAGGATGGGAGGCTGCTGCTGCAAGAGGTGACGATAGACCAGTAGGTGCCACTCTTCCCATCGTACCAGTATTTCCAAAGCACAGGAGCGCTAATCTCAGTGACCTGCCTAAAGTCCACTTTGGGTTTGTATAGTCTGATCTACCCGAAGTTCCCCCGTTATTCAATTGATGAAAACTTCTCACTTCTCTGCCTGATCTGCTGTGTGTTGGGGACACTGGGGCCTAACGGCTGACATTTATTACTGAATAACACCAGATTCGTTTTTAGAAAAAATAAAAGGACTGAATATTAGTGGCAACTGAATATCTATGATTAGCAATTGTTTTAAATTTATTTTATTCTAAAATAAATAATTAGATAAAACGAGAGAATACTTAACAAAATCATGCAGATCCACTTAACAGTGGAAGAGACGCCGCTTTTATCAGAACAGTTCATGACGATGCATTTAGTACCTCGCTTCCAGATCCATTGACTTGAGAATCTAGGGGCCGCTTCTTCCTGGGCCCAATAGCTGCCAGTGCTGTCAGATTTGCATCTCTCTGCTGCATTTGAGCCAGTTCCAGCTGCTGCATCTGTTGTTTAAAAAACAATGTGTTAATAAGCAAAGTGTCCAGTGTTTCATGTAGGGTCTTTTCATTGGTTGCAAAGCTGAATACTGAGATCATGCAGCAGAGGCTTAACCACAGCCTGTACTAGCAGACTTACTTCTGACCTGTCAATATATATATTATACAAATATCTTTAACTTACAGACTTACAAACACATATTACTGACCAAAATTATTAAAAAGCATGCTGTTAAAGATCACCTAAATATTTTCTTTTCAGAAATGCTAAAATCCTAATGAAAATACATAGCTTAAGGAAAGAGTGGTTTATTAATGCTAGAAATACTGAGCTAGTGTCATAGCCACAGCTGTGTTTGTTACCCTCCTGTAGTTTCTAAGCATATGTGTGTTTCCAAAGCATTCTTCGCCACTGTTCCAACAATCCTGTAATACAGTCTGAGGTCTCTTCTCCGATCTTTTGTTTATAGTTATCAACGTGACATCACATACACAGAGCTGCCATCTGAGAGAGCCGCTCCAGGAACACAAACATTCCTGATCCTTTTACACTTGTAAGATATCTAAGAGAACTGAGTCCAGTCCAGGGTGTGCCCTGCTTGTGCCTGCTGCTCACCAAAATAAGGCCCAGCTTCCCCATGACCTTGAATTGAATGAAGCGTTTAAAATAAAATGGATGGAGGTGTTATTCACATTTATGAAGATAAAATAAGAATTTTAAATGTAGATATTTACCTACAAACTATTATCAGCTTTAATTAATCTTGAAAGAAGATTTACAAAATCCTAAGGTTAACAGACAATAGGAAATTACTGGACCAATGTAGGTCGCCTGGTTTTGGGTACATAATTGACCCAAGGATGTTCAGTCACTCCTTGACAGAAGTGATGGAAACAGCTTCCTGGCTGAGCACCTTGTTCCATGCTCCCACCATCTTCTTACTCCTGACTCCTCCTCTTTCAAACCCTTATTTTGGATTGTGCACAGTGAACAGTCATTATTCTGTTCAGAGATCAGAGATCAGAATAAAATAAACATTTTATATGTGCAACAGCATAAGTGCACATCACAAAGGAGTAAACATGAAATAGGTTTATTCCATGCTGAAAAAAAGAAGAAAGAAAACAACGTTCCGGTCATGGAGCCTTCTTCAGGTAATCCTTCTCCATGGCCGAAACGTTGTGTTTTCTTTCTTCTTTTTTTCAGCATGGAATAAACCTATTACTTGTTCCTTTGCAGCCTATGCATGCTGACGCAGCTACCCACCTGAACTAAAGAGTAAACATGTTGGGTATTGAGTAATCATTATTTCGAGATTTGCCTTTCGTATACATTCGTATAGAAATATACCATTGCATAAGTTTAACACAAGAAAACAGGACCTCAGAAGTGCAGTACATGTAACTCTACAGTTGCATACTGTATAGCCTTCATCTGTTACTGCATTTGATCAATTTCATTAGTTTTCAGTGGTAAGGAGAATAAATACCACAGATCCACAGCAACATGTCAATAAAATACAGACAAATCTAGTCTCGCAATAACATATGCTTTTCTCCTATGCAGCACACTCACACCACCCAATCTTACTCAGACGCGCACACACACACATCCAACCTCAGGTGCTTTCATTTGATTCTATTCCCCATTTGCCAAGGGGCCCAGCTCTAGCTAGCTCCAATATTAGGCTCAATTAAAATAAGCTCCAATTAGTGGAGCTTTTTCTCTAAGGCAAAGAAAGTCAGGAAATGGATATTGGGAAATGTAAAAGTCAGCTACTGTGAGGAGGCAGTCGACGTAAATGAACTTATTTGTTGATTTCTACAGTTGCTATGTGGAGACCTCTGGGAGTTAAAGCTTAACTAGTCTAAGCTATAAAATAAAAAGCCCCCGAGCTAAACATGAACTGTGTGAAAACAAGGGCTCCATCACAGAACAGAAAACTGCTGGGCCCAGAAAATTAAAAGCCAGAGGCATTTTCCATTTACAACTAAATCCCAGTACCACCTTGAAGCCAAAGAATTATAAGCAGTATCAGATTTACAAAATGAACAATTATCCTGAAAAATTGTAGCCTATTGTAGAATCCCCAAATACTATACCTCAAAGTTTTAATAAAAACTTAAATGTATTTGTTACCAACATATACATCTTGAATTTATTGAGCTGTTGCCGAAGATGAAACCGTGTCGAGGACTGCCCTTGCCGGGAGCAGTCCACGTCCTTCCCCTGGGCGACTGCAAATGATATGCGATAGCAAAGCAAACCTTGACCTAATTGCCAGGAGACTGCACCCATGCCCAGGAATAAAACAAAGGAAGCTGCAGTGTTGTCGTGCTTCATCCCTACCTCTTTGGCTTTCTGTTTCAGCCTCAGCTGCTCTGGATCTTCTTTATTGGACCGACTCTGTCAAAGAAAGAAGACGCAAATCCTATAAATATTGCAGGTTTTGCTAAACACTTATTATAAATAACAGCCTCTGAAGTATTGCTTTTGAAAGTCTTTGGAAGTGGACATGGACGCAAGCTTTTAGCTTCCCGGCTTTGTTCAGCTGTCTGACTGGCCTTGAGGAAAGCGGCACCTAAAAGAGTCGTCCACGTTATCAGCCAGGTCAAGCCACTGAACTACGCCTCTTGGGTCATCTCTCCAAATGACAAATCGTGGAGCTGTTGAATACAACTGCGCTTTTTTTTTTACCAAGCAAAATTAAAGTTTGGCTCATTATGGAGGGCACAGCCACTCCAAGGCATGAAGCACACAGCAGAGGCATGACCGTGCAACCTTTCATCCAGCAGACAGACAAGCCACCTGAATTCCCCCAGCCGTGAAACGGAGGCCTTACTCTTGCAGCTCGTAAGAGCACTTCTCTTTCCTCCTCATCTCTCTTTTGTTTCTCCAAACGGTCCAGCTGCCCGAGAAACTTCAGCTGAGAACGAGTGTCACTCTGTTGTACATATCCGTCATCCTAGAAAAAAAAAGGTTACTATCAATGAAGGAAAATGTATTGAAAGAAAGGATCCATCCAGTTTCGGACAAATTCACAATCCATACACAATGAGAAGGAAATGGGTGCAGACTAGGATTAGAGGCTATAAGATCGAAATTAATTAATTAAAGCTAGGAGGCAGAAAGGTAGATGATCAAATTAACTCAACAGAATCTGACTTTTAGGAAAATTCAGAATGTCCACCAATAATCCAGAACACATAAGGGGTAAAATTCACAAAGACAATGACAGGTCTATAGGTTTTATAAGCAATAAACAATCTTTAGTCATTTGTCTAAAAACGAAGGTGCTCCTTGCTTGTACCCCAAAAAGCAGTGTTCACTGTACACATCTCCCATGCAAATAACCCATCTGTGTGTTTTTTATTAAGAAGAGAGAAAAAGATAGCTTGTGGTTTCTTCCTCAAGTGTATTTTTGACATGAACATCAAATTGTGGAGAGAAATCTATGTACTGCTAGTGTTTAGAAATAGTTGACTGCTGTCACAGTGCAGTGTGTGAACAAATTGAGAAATTAAAGAAGGCTTTTATTGAGCAAAGACACAAAAGTAGACAGAAAGAACTTGGCAGCTGCTGAATGCCATATAAACAAACACCTGAATTATGTAAACTGGAAAGAGGTTTTCTCTAGGACTTGATGTAGAAAGTTTCCAAGCTGTAAAAAGGTTAAGTTTATAACTTTTTTTTTGAGCTACTGTCTGCTGAACAAATCTGAAGTGGTGAAAAAATATTCTGTGCATCTGGTTATTTCTTAATATACTGAGTATTTCCTTACATAATCTGTGAAAAATAATACATTATCTGTGAAATAGCCATGATTTTTTGTAAAAAATCTGGAACTCTGCTTCTCTTGAACGGTTTTACCTTTTCCTGGCAATGCCAAAGAAGATTTAAAAAATACACAACTAGTTATATTATGTTTTTATTAAGTTTATTCAAATTCTGTTCAGGTCTTAAAATACAGACCTTTCAAAACGCTATATTATTTATCTTTGTTTTTATGCCAGGTGTGATGTTTAAAGTCTGCAGCATTTGGTAAGTTTGAACAGCAGACAAACATTTCTATGCCACTCCAAATAAAATACTTTCCACTAGTGTTTGTCTGTCAGTAAAGCAAATATAAGCCAAATGCTAATGCACCGCAAATGTGCTAGGAAAATATCCGTACAATTGACCCACACATGAAACCAAGTTTTCTACTTGTGCACAGTACAAAAGAGTTTAGAGA